AAAAAAAAAAAAAAAAAAAAAAAAAAAAAAAAAAAAAAACTACAAAAATCCTACCCTGGCATGACTACAGCACTGGATTGAACCTGAACATGGGTTATTGAATAATTTGTAAACGTCTGTCCATTAGAAAATTTTATTGCCAAATAGAGTAAATGTGTTGTTGGTGATGTTTTTATTTATATTTTACATTTTAATAAAAAAATTCAATTGTTAAAAGTTTTTAAAAAGAAGTTGACTATTAACTTATCCATTTTCTTTCATCATTTATGAATAGAATTTATATTTCTTAATTAAAAGACATTAGTAAATAAGCATTATAATAACTAAATAAATAAATAAATATATATATCTATTTCAGATTAGCTTATAGTTTCTATTTTAAAAAATATGCATCTTTTTTTCTAAATAAGCTTTTCAACTGCTAATTTTTCATACATTGTCTTTTTCTAAAATAATATTTATATTATAATTTTTATACATTTTCTAAACTGCCAATAATTTCATAATAGATAACAGTAAATATATCAAGCAAACTTTGTAGAAATATTTATTTTTATGGCTGTAAAATAAAAATAAAAAAATGATTGTTTTTAAAACATTCAGGGAAAAAAACACATTTGTATTTTTTCTGGCATTTTTCAATATGAAAGAATCTAGGATTAATAAAAACTGTTAAATTTTCTGCCAAATCAAATGTATTTAATGATGATAAATCATCAGAAACATCCAGGATAGAATCCAGATGGGTTAAAACAACAAGCAATTTTTGGGGTGGTCCATCCAGATACATCGAGTCCCAACCCTCATCACCTGGCTGCTAAGAAAAAGGCCCTCTAAGTATTGTTAAACGTTGCAATTTTATATTTATATATTTAATTAAAGGCCCTCTAAGTTCATATGGGATGGAAGAGCTATTAAAACAACAACACAAACAGAAAATGTTTAATTTACAATTTTAAGTTCAAAATACAATGATTTTGTAACAAGTTAAATGATTTAGGTGCAAATTTTAACAAATTCATTTCTTTAATAGAAAATTGAAGTATTATCTCACAGTTAAACTTTTCAGATTGATACTTTTGCTTGCAGTTTACAAAAAAGCTGGTTGTGTGTGTTCTAAATGCATTATGAGAAAATGTGTTATGCCTGAAAACTATAAACAAATAAAAAAATTTCTCATTTATACCAACAACTCCATTAAATTCAATGTACATTCAACTCACTATATTTTGTTCTTACTAACACACATTAACAGCATACAATAAATTTAACAAATGAAAATGTCTTATTTTCTTCATACAATGAATTAATAACTTCTTTGCGTGTACTGTACATAAAATATCTATAAAATTAATTTTACCTGTGTATTAATGTTACATCTGAACTGTAGTAAGACTTTCACACAATTGACATGTTGTTTATTTACAGCAACATGAAGGGCGCTACATCTTGCCTTGTTGACGGCATCAATGTCGGCATTCTTTTTTAACAGCAACTCCATCACTTCCGGTTGATTTCTAATAAAAATCAAACTGTATTTTTAATCAAATTATTTAATAAAATAACAATAAATAAATATATATATATATCTTCTTAATGTACCCGAAGGCGGAGTAATGCAATGCCGTATCACCATCATCATCTCTAACTTCTACAGAAGCGCCTGCTACTAGCAACATGCGAACGATATCTAAATGACCCTGATGGCTTGCGACTTGTAATGCCGTTTTACCGGAACTTTTTTGATCAACCTAATCATAAATTTTAATTAGTTACAAAAAATTTACTCGATATTAAACTTTTGAAATTACAATCACCTTTTCTTGAAAAGTCTGCAAAATTTCCCTAACGATCTCGGTGTGACCTTGTGCTGCTTCTCTGACTAATCTGTCGTTACTGGTGCATTCCATGTGTTGATGATCGACGAGTAAATGCCCAAGCAGAGGATCTAACAAAATAAAGTGCGTAATTTGTAGTCATCTGATCTCGAATGGAAATATGTTTATTTTGATATATTTACGACTATAATTCTTACTCGTATGCTCTTCTCTTTGATTAGCAGTCATAGTGTTATTCATTTCTGTTGCCGATCCAGGAACTAGAGATACGCAGAGTGGATTGAACGTCCAGGTTTGACCTTCGGAGTTTACTCGTAAATCGCCATCGGTGTATATTTTTGTAATTTTTCCAATTTTCCCCAACGACTACATTTTAAAAATGCATTTAGCAGAATTGATTTAAGTGTAATTATTACTTGTAATAAATAAATTAAGATTTCATATCGTACTGTTTTCATGACATCGATCCATTCCCCGTGTCCTCTCTGAAGCTCTTTAACTTTATTAGCATCATCAATGATTCTGACCATGTCACCCACAGAAAATAGCATCACCTACAAAACACAAATAAATTAATTATACTTATAAAAATACAAAATGACTTTACAAAGGGTGAAAGTTTTTATTGTCATTTTTCAATTAAGCAAAAGATGCAAATAAACATAATGCTGCAAATTAGTTTATACTTTCTATTCATTTTCTTTAATATTCCATGAAAAAAAAAGTGTTTTTTTATTCTAATAGTACAGAATGAAATCAAATCAGATCATATTCTTGGTCATTAAGAATTTTTATACATTTTTTGTTTATAATTTCTATTTAATAACAGTAACACAACTTCCAATGTTATCTATTTTAGAGAATTATAGATTTAAATAAAGAATTTAATGTATTACGATAAACTTTTGTGTAAAAATCATATGGAAATTTGCATAAAATTGAAGTTAGTAATTTAAGAAAAATCTCCAAATTTCTGGAAATACAGTGTCTGAAAAGTTACCGCAAGTGAGAAATTTGCAACAACATTAAAGTTATATGTATGGCTTTGCAAACAAGACCTGTAATTTGTATTTCTCACGTTTCTACTTTGTGATAGTTGGCATTAAAGCTTTCTAACAATGTTCTGGAATGCCTACCCTCATTTGCCCAGATACAGTTGAACAAAAGTGAGAGTGTAGGTCTGTATTGACTGAGTGATAATGGTGTTGATGATCTAGCAAAGGCCCAACATGTCTTCAGGCCTCTTGAGGACATTTCAGGCATTTGTTTTAGTATCCTATGTAAAACTTCACTTTTATTATAACTTTATTTAAGTAAAAATATAGCCAATGGTATTTACGTTTAATAAATATTAGAAAAATACTGTTTTCATAAAGATAAAATACTTTGCTTCTGTTTCTCTTTTCTGTCATTTCACACCCGTGACAGTCCATGAAAAATTCACAAGTACAGAGATGACGTTTTGAGGCTCTGCTCCACAATAAAATGCAAATATAGAGAAATAGTGTCCATACATAAAAGAGAAACGGAAGCAAAGTATTTTATCTTTATGTAAACATAATACTTTTTATATTTATTAACTTTATTTAAACCTTTTCTGCTATACAGTAACATTACACACACTATAAATCATCTTACTTTGGTTAAAGCACCAGGATGGAAAGTCCAGCGATTATTACATCCTTCGTACTGAACTCTTATGTCGCCTTTATCTGTAACCCTATGTACAGTTCCTACTTTTCCAATATACTAAAATAAAATTTAAGAAATTATTAACTATTATACATAAAAATATCAAATTATATTATTAAAGTATGAAATTTAATATAGTGATTCAAAATGGAATAAGATTAACAAATTTAAAAAAAAATAAATATAGTAAGAGTTAAATTGTATATATATATATATGTAATGTACAGTACATAGTATCAAATTTAATAACTGTATGTTAAGCATATAGGCATGTATGTATACTACACAAATGCTAAAACTGATTCATTATGCATACATTTAAACTGTAAGAAAAACAGGTAATTTTTTTCATTCAGACTTCATATTAGATCATATAAATATATTGCCTATTATACAGGGTCTTCAAAACAAATACTGCCATTTTCAATTATTGTAATTATGTTAATTATTATCGAACTGATATCAACCATCCGACACCAATCAATAGAGTAATCATCCGAGTTGTGTCTCCCATCTGTAGTCAAATGTATCATCGTCTACTACCCTAGGAAGCACTGTACACAGAGATGACTATGCCGTTCACAAAATCGGAATCACTCTTCATTATAAAACATGCCTGATCTGTAGAGCCTTAGAAATGTGGTTGCTGTAAAAGGAGAGACAACGAATATGCCCTCATGAGCGTATCAAGAACTTAACCAGTCGGTTGCACGGTACTACCATTGGAGTAACCGGTTTTAGTTAAACTGTTGCGCAGCACTCCAGTTGGAGTAAGTGTCAATTTTTTTTCGTAATTAACTAGTTGGTGGCGATTTAAGTACTGACTGGCATTTATCTACATAGACTAAGTCTGTTTCAATGAATAAAATATTTGTTACCACTCCTTATTTTTAAATTTACCCACAAAACTCCTTTCCTTTCTATGTTAAGTCTATGGGAGACCCTTCTTTTGTTCATTGGACAATAAAATTCTTGTTTGCACTTCTGTTGAGCTGTATATTATAGCTAAATGACTATCCTTTAACGAATAAGCATTGACTTGGGTTTGTGGGGTGGGAACTTTCTCGAAAAAAGTTATTTTTCTCAGAGCTACATTGTTAGCTACAAACATAAACAAACAATTATAAATCATTATTCTCGTCTATTTTTAGCTTGAATTTAGTAAATTTTTATAAATATTTATCCTATTTAACAAATAAGCATGTTTTTTAAACCATCCAGTCATAAATCTTTTAAAAAACAAAGTACTTCCGGTTATCATGGAACTTTCGTAATACGTAAGAAATACACGTACAATCATTAATACAGTAAAGTAATAATCGCTTGATATATACCACTGTTAATACAATAATGTAAATAACATAAATAGAATCAAATATACATCATCAATACTAAAAAGTGTATTGACCTAAATTTAGAATAATCACCACCCCCTTCCATGCCAATCGGCTTTATAATCTATAGGTCGTATTATTTCTCTACATCGGTTTAGAAAGCTGCATTTTTTTTTTTTTGTGTAAATATAGACCTATCTATCTAACATATATAACAGATTAATCGGATGTTTATTAAAAATTTTTTATTTTTTGAATTCTCGAACTTTATACATTTTTTTAAATGTACATAATATTTTGAAGTANAGCTTACAGTTTTGCCAAATACCTTCTTGTGAGTAAACTTCTCATTTATTCACCTAGTATGTCAGCTTATTTCTCTTCCGTGGATTTTTCCTCAAAAAATAATCTATGTGAAAATAAAACAAATTGATAAGTCAAATTCTAAGAATTGAAATTTAAATGCTTTAAATCATACCTTTATTTTATTCGAAAGGTTGAAAGTGTACGTCCGAGAGAGTCCGATTCTTAAACCATTTAAAATTACCTGTGCAACTAAATCTTGGAAGTAAAAATTTATACGCAAACACTCATATTTTCGTAATATTTATTTGTAAACATTGTAGCAATCTGTAGATTTTTCATTGTTTAAATATTTTTGAAAATTTTAATTTTACATCCAAACAAATTTACTGTTTTATAAAAACAACTTACAAGAATTTCTTTTCTTCCAGTTGAAATAAACAAAATATTGCTTAAAATTGGTAACAGATGTGGTATAAATTACTCTTCTGCAAAATAAAAATAATATAAATTATATACAACTTTTAATAATGTTCCTAATTAACTTGATATGCATATATTTCTTGCTCGTGCATGGATCTCTATTGATTTGCAGCAATTTGAAACGCTCGGCGTTAAATACTAATTAACAAAAGTTGCATCGAAACATATAAATTATTCTCGTGGCAAAAGGGATCGACTCTTTCGAGAGGCAATTATAAATAAATCGATAATTCATCATCTGAATTTCGGTTGTCTTCGTTTTTAGCGTCACAAAAAATATCTATACTCTTCCCACAAATGTTCAAAAATGTAGACTATCTTAGGAAATATACAATATAGGAAAAATATATAAATTGAAATATGACTAAATGTCACAAATACGGAGAAACGAGAACACTAGTCATTACGATACGATTCTGTCAATATTTACAAAATATACCAACAATATTACATAAACATATTAAACATTTTTGATCTACAGTTACTAGTAAAAAGGGGATCGGTTACATTGATTACTGTAAAACATCTTTAAAGGAATCTACGTTTTCTCTGGTTTTCGTCTCGTTTCGCTTTCAAAAAATTTATTGCTCAACGTGGAAGTGTAAAGATAAATTAAAACATTTATCCAGAAATGTACAAATTTTTATAAAAGAAAAGTTTGTTTCTTATAAACTGAAGACTGCATGGTAGACGCAAAGCGTTTTCTGGTTCATTCTCGTGATGGAAAAATTCTTTACGAAATTTCCATATATAATATTTTTTTTTTCCTAGTTGTGACAAAGACAAGGAAGTGATAAATATATGCAGGGACTGCATATCACAGTAATTGTTCCTCGGTAGGAGTCTTTCCATTTAGTCTTTAAGAGCGATTGATGGCACAACAGAATTAGATAAAATTATGATGTAAAACCATCAATATAAATTGATTTTTTTGGTTATCGGTTTACGGCACATGTGGCAAATCTTAAGCGTTTGAGCACAACTGATGCATGCTCCGTGGCCGCAGAGGAAGGCGACGTTTCGCCTTCTTTCCATGCAGATCGAACACGAGTGAGCTTCTTCGATTTCTTGTATTTTATTTTCTAGATAGCGTAATCTCTCTGCACTTGCCTGTCTTACTTTCGAAGATATCACTCTACCACCTAGAAATAAAAATTAAAATGTACAAACTATTTTACACATCAATTAAAATGTATATACACAAATATTTGAAAAGAATTCTTTATACTGTATTTAATTATTGATTTAATTGAAGCAGTGTTTTCCAACCACCAGTCCACAGAAAAATATTTGATTGCACCAACACTGGCACAGTTGATTACAGGTGATGCTTAAATAGTAATCTAGAATTATTGAATATACTTTGTCACATTTGGTAACTCCAGATAAGCATAATTCATAGTCTCATATAATTACTAATCCATAATTTTACTGGTTTGCGACAAGTAAAAAGCCGAGAAACACTGCTATATTAGATCAGACTCAAGATGTAGCAATTAAAAAACAATTGTTCTATCTCATTTGTATGTCATTAACTTATGTATCAATTTTTAAAAAAAGTTGCTGTCTGACTTGTGTTTAATGTTGCCACTTTCTGAAGAATGATATAAAAATGCCATGATTAAGATCTGCAATATAATAATTTTTTTTAATTAGTCGAAATATTGATTATTCACTATCAACAGTATGTAAAATTTTTATTTAAATCTTGTAATTTTGTCCAGAAAATTAACAGCAAAACATGTATTTTGTTCCTTGTTAATTAATATTACAATAATTAAAAAAAAAAAATACTTTTTACAGTGACAGCATTTTTAATCCATCTGAATATTATTATTGGGATATCTACTTTGTGAATTTTATTGATTTAGTTTTGAAATGTTAAAGTAACAAAAAACTTAAAAAAACAATACTTTTTACTTTCAATTCTTAAACATTATTATGATCTCTTTAAATAGATGAAGTGTTAAAAATGAATTAAATGCAATATTTGCAGATTTTACAAATCATGAAATTAAATTAAAATGCTTTATTGCTAACCTGGGCCTATTTTCTTGTGTATCGACTCCTGACAAGCGATACACTTTTTCATTCGAACACAACAATCTTCACAAGTGACGGTATGACCGCACGGATCAAATGTAATGCTTGCTATCATTTCACAACATATTAAACAGTCACTTTCTGTCTGATTAGATTCTGCTGCGGAAGATCCAGGATCGCCATTTTCCCGAGCGATGGAATGGGCTTGAGCACTAAACGTAAAAAAATATTCACTTATTAATTTATTTAGCCGACAAAACATTAATACTGATTTAAAATGCAAACCTATTTAAAGATGAGTAATATAATAGTAATTCTTTTAATTTGTGATTATCGGAAAGAAGCTCTAGAGGCGTTTTTCCTTTGTGATTTTTGTGGACATGTTTGCCACCTTCTTGAGCAATAAAACATGCAATAGCAAATCCGTTACATTTTTCTAGTCCCTGGCCATTTAAATGTTCGACAATCTGAAATTACACATTTATAAATATGGCGGTTAACATCATTATCGGAATTATTTTCTCAACACATTACCCCACTAATCGTTTGTGCTTCTTTAATATCTACTTCTGACTTCTGTTTCATTAATGCTAAATGCATTCCTGTATCTCCGTCTTCATCTTCTGCATTAATATTTGCTCCGAATCGTACTAGCAATTCAATAAGAGAACAATGCCCTTGACTTACTGCTAGTAATAATGGTGTCTGTTTTCTGTTATTCCTAATATCTACTTCGCTTTGTCCCTGTATTAAATAATAATGTATTATAATAATGATATAGCATCTTAATTACCCGGATGATCAAATAAAAATAGAACTCGTGTGAAGTGATACGAGAAATCTAGTAATGCTGCAAGTCAGACTTGGCGAAGCTGCAAACTGGCATTACCAAAC